ATGCGTAAGAAGACATTTTACTCGATGCAGTCTCTGAGTCTCATCCCTTAGCTGTAAACACTGACCGAACTATGCCTGCGCCTAGGAGCGGGAAAACAGCAAAACAAGCCCCGATAAGCCTCATCGCGGTTATTTTACTTTTTGTGCTTGATTTAAGAAAAGAAAAGAGAAGAGAGACTCTCTTTGCGCTTTTTAACTTCCTTCAACTCAGCTTATCACTATAAAAGCTTACCACCCCTCCCTCTTCCCTCCTCCTCCCTCCCGTCCTTTCCCTCTTTTCCCCATCCCCCTCCCTCCCCTTCTCCAGCTGAAGTTAGCATTTCTACCGGTAAAACAACACTATTTTCACAAATCTTCTGATTTTTTTTAACAGAAAAAAAAACACAATTTACCTCCCTCTCTTAACCATCACTTCTGAATATGCCACGGAGCTCATGATGAGAGTTACACAAAAAAAAAAAAACTGTACCGGAACATTTTTGGGTTTACTCGTCGACGTATTTAGCTGACTGTTCCAGGTAACAAATCTTTTTAATACGAAATCGCCACCATAAACATTTTCAAGTCGATATTGATAAATAAAAAATGCCAGAATTGCCCTACAAATAACTATCTTAATGCCAAACAGTTTAGGTTCACTCCCTAACTGTTTTACATATAATTGCCATCAATCCTCGCATTTAAAAGTGTTTGTTGCACAGCATTCAGTTCTATGTTATCGAACATTTTTTCATAATCGACGAATAGGAGATAAAGGGAGTTGATACCTCCTTGCATGTTCAGCAATTTTTGTGCAAAAATATGGCCCTGTGTAGTAATTTTGCAATCCAGTTAGCTCCCTCGATTGCTGTTCATCAAGTTTTATTAGTTAGTTCGTGATAATCCTCGTGAACAGCTTGTAAACGTGACAACGTAAAAAAGGTCGTGGAGTGGTTCTTCCGGTTTTTTTAATGCAATAAAACAGTTTTCAACTTTTTCCAACTGCTGGTTAGTATCCTCTTTTTGGCCAAATGCCAATTGGACCGAAACACAAGAGTTCTCGAAAGTTTGTGCTCTTCGGAATTGAAAATTTCGATGAATCATCCGAATTTTCATTCTGCTAAGCTAACAGGCCAATATTAGATAAGGCAGCCTGAACAGCAGTTGGATGTCGGTCAGTCGATCCTAACATATCGGCTAATGCCGCTGCAGATCACTAAGAACAGGAGTTCAAATCCATCTCGGCAATCGAACGCGAGACTGGTTAATATTCCCGTACCTGGGCATGGAAGATGACCTGTCTACATGACATACGGTTTACGTACATTTGCTACTCTACAGTCTTCTTTACCCTACTTTAATTTCCCTCTTTTCACACACATTTGTTGACTTCGGCCGAACCGTTTTTTATTTTTTATATTTTGTTTTCTGACCCTGACTGTATTGGCCGGTGTTTGCAGTCCTCCAGGCGAGCTGTTATAGTTTTTTATTGATATGGTCCTCATAGGGCCTTTAGGGGCCGTATTGCCTTTCCCTCTTTACAAAAAGAATAAAAAACCGTGTAATTACTAAAGTACAGCAAAAATTACTGCAGTAATCCTAGGCAGACACAAGAAAGAGTGTCAAGAACTCACAGGATGGCAACGGCACCGAGCAAAATCACACGTCGTCGACTTGCGCACGCTTCG